CAGATCGGATTGACCTATATCCATATTTGATCCATTTAGTTAACGGATTATCGGATTCGGATCTTGATCGGGTTATCGGACTGAGACCCTAAATCCATCTCCCATTAATTTCGTCGGATTCGGATCAAAATCCAATCCATTGATAGTCCTATATATGCCCATGCAACTTTCTTGTGCTAGAACTTTGGTTCGCTAACACAAAAGTATTGTACGATTCTTTAGAAAAGTACGAAATGTCTCGTCAAATATTTAATATGATTCACCATCACAAGAAAAACGAAAACCAAGATTTGTTTTATCCGATATCAAATGGTAGCTATGAGCAAATAGAACACCTTTCAAGAGTAGCAATTTCAAATTTATTTAGCCATACATTCTCAAAAAATACTCATTCAAAACATAGTTTTTAAAGATTAAAGACTACCAAACAGTGGCTTAATTAATTAGTAGATAATCTAGAAATAATAACTAATACAATCCATTTGAAATATATTTCTAATAGGACCATATTACTCACCATTCTTAGCTCCCTCTCTCAGACACGGATATGCACAAACAAAATTGTAACTATCAAAACCTTCTTTTTCGTTTGTTAAAATATCGTAGGAGTTGATTGTTTTCATTTCTGGTGCACAATGATTGAGACATTTGTCCGTAAGCTGGAATTTTTTTGAAGTGAGGGTTTGTGATCCAGGTTCAGGATCTCATCTACCACATAGAACTAGCAAAGGGGTTTTATAGAGATGATGCCGCTGGTCTTGCAAGAAATAGCATGCTCCGAGAAAGTAACATTTTGAATTTTATTAAAAACTCTAGTGTCTTGAGGCTTGGATATTATATAGGAATTGATATGCATAAGAAACTTGTGATTCTTGGCATTCGTGGAACTTGCATAGTATATGATGTAATCACCGACATTGTTTCTTCAAGCAATGAAGTCACCTTTAGTACAGCTGAGGCTGCTCATTGGTTTCTAACTCACTAGGTAGAAACCGTAAGAAAGTGTTTAGAGAAGCACAAGGTAATGGTGAATATATTTTTTTTCTACGTTTTATTCTTTAGCCTTATCCCTGTCTTGTAGACTTATGTATTAAAAGCTTCATATCGTTTTGTAGCGAGACTAATTAATCAATAGGGATTTAGATTAAGGATTGTGGGTCATTCCCTGGGAGGTTCAACAGCTTATTTACTTGTAATGATGCTCCGTAAAAAGGCATTTAATGAACTTGGAAGCCCTGATATAATTTTTGCACTTGGATATGCCAACCCTCCTTGTGTCTCCAAAGAACTTGCTGAAAGTCGCTCTGATTTTGTCACAACTGTGGTAATGCAGGTCAGTTTGTGATTTAGCTGTGACTCAATTTTTTTTTAATTTATTTTTTTGTATACAATTCTATTATATCTCATTCAAGTCATATTTTTAATATCTTATTTCTTTTACTTGAGATTTTCTTTCTTTTTGAATGGAGGATGACATAGTTTCTAGATTTATTAACTTATTTTTATTTATACGGGATGATATAATCCCAAGATTAAGTGTTGCTTCTTTAATTAGATTGAGGAATAAAATTCTTCAAACTGATTGGTAAGAAACCTACCATATTTGGAAGCTTTCTGTGACCTTTAATCATAGTATGTCAGTTGAAAATTCTTATAGTGAAAGAGAAATATCTGGATGGAAAACTTCTTACGTTTAAGGTTTTTATGATATTGTTTTTTTTTGTTCGGTAAAAGGTACAAGTAGATATTTTCCCTATCTTTGAAAAATAAAAATTGTGTAGTAGTTCTTGATAATACCAGTAGAAAATGTGAAGCTCGTTTCCACTGTATTTGCAACTTCTAGCAATTATATCTGATAATCTATTTGGCTATATTACATTTTTCTTCTACGTATAACCAATCACTTTAAATAATATCTTCTTTATAATTCTTGCAATAAATTTGAAATTTGCTCTGTTTCATCTGGTAGTTTGTCCGTAAGAGAAGCTTTTGGCATTTCCATGTTTGGGTATCATGTATAATAGGTTTGCATCATCTTAAATGCACTCGTTTTCCTTTTCTTCCCCATGATTTTTGGATCAGTATGCCCCCGTATTTTTACGAAATTTGCTCACCCTCGTGTTTTTTAAAATGGTGCTATAAAGTCCCTTTGGCTACGGTTTCCACTATTTATGGTACTTCAGCATTTTCTTGCACCTTCTTGCCCAGTTTACTACAACAACAATGATGCCAAAGTGTTATTCAAAATAAATTAGAGTTGACTGCATGAATCCTTCATTGTCACTTTATTTGATTATTGCTACACGCACTAAGATATCTAAATCAGCTAGATTTTTAGCAAGCACGGATAATGATATTTTTGGTCTCCCCTCTTTTATAACCTGTGAGGTCATATCATTCTCATGAATGCAAATCATTTTACATTTACCTAGGCTATATTCAAACTACCTAAGTTATCTTTCCCTTAAGTTATCCTCAACATCTTATCATTTCTAGTATAACCACACGTTCATCTTAACATCCTCATTTTCAATGCTTAGTTCTGGACATTTTGTCCTTTAATAGACTAACGCTCAATATTGCAAAGAACTACAGATATAATAAGCCACTGTGTAAACTCCATTTTTATCTAAAAATGTATTTTTTTCTTTCTTCTTTATAATTACATATTTTCTAATAAAATAATATTACAAGTAAATTCAAAACTTTTCCTTCTTTTTTAACTTCATATTCTTCAAAAAATAACTATTCCAAAATACATTTTCCCCCAAAACACATTTTAATGGAGCCCAAATAGGGGTTAACTATTGTACATAATTCTATTTTACCTTATAGGGATTTCTAATCATGCATGATTCTATAACACTTCTCAATCTCATCCATCCTCCTATAATCCTATGAATTACTCTCTCCATTTAGTTCTTGTTGGGGTGAGCTCTAGCGATTACGTAGTTCGGGTCCAACTAGTCTCTTGTTAATAATGGAACCTAAATGCCTAAAACAATCGCTTATTCCATAGAAACTCCATTATTATTCTGACGCTAGGCAGAATAGTGATTATCCTGCGGGCTAGTTCTACCAGCAAATTCACAGGGAAGAACACAATATTAACGCCGAAAAACATAGAGAAAACGTCTCTGAAGTTTA